CAGCAAAGAGTAAGTAGAAAAGTCAGTCAGGTGAGAGGGCTGTGCAAAACAGAATTCTGCAGGAGTTCACAAGATTGACAGAGTGATGAGATTTGATATTTACCTGTAAGGTATCTTCTGGGAAATGTCTGCAGACTGATAGGTTTTAGTAGCTGAGCATGTCTTGAAGACCCCACATGGAACATACTCTGATGATTTAATCCAAACAAAAGAAACTTAAGTTCTTGATGCCGAAAAACCTGCCCAGAGTAAAAGGCAGTGACATTTCTGTTTGGGGGGTACTGTGCAGCCATTATAATATGGGAATTATTAATTTTTGTTTGAATTTTTAGATCATGCATATTTTAATGTAAAAACAAAAATCGATTATAGCCTGGATCCCCTTATAATAGCAAAAATTTCTACTATAGAAAGATTACCCATAAAGATATAATTATAATCATATTTTATGATCCGGACATTTTCTTTCCTCCAAAACCTTAGGTCATTATACAATCTTTCTCAGACTCAGCTCTCTCATCCTTAAGGTGAGAAAAATCAGTAGTATCTACTTACTAATAGTATCAATATATGTGAATCACTTAAAACAATACCTGGTACATGGTAAACAGTAATGAGTAGCTGTTTTATTGGTATTACTTGCCTTCAACCAATTTTCTTATTTGAGCAGTCATGCGATTATGGGCATTACCTATTTTCCACAACATTTTTAAAAAGTCTGTCAAATAGATGAAGAATCCTTGTCTATTTTATTCAAACTATGAGACTTGAATAATTAAACATAAGCATTGTATGACTGCAAATTGATCCATGTATTCATAGTTGTTCTGGGGAACAAGTAACAGATTCTGACAAATCTGCAAAGAGCCAGGTTTTAGTTAAGGCCAGGATAAGGAAGGATTATTCAGCTAAACTTCTGAAGATATAAGACATGTTTGGTGATTGTAGAACAGAGATTCCAGAAAGCTTGCATTAGCTTTGCTTTGGCAGTCTTACCAGACTTAGTACCTATTCATTTCGGTTTTTAAAAATCATTTTTATTCTAGGAAAAACATTCATACACTTTGAAGAATTATAGAAATGTAAGATCAATATTTTTATTTAGGGATATAATCAACAATTTACACATAAGATTCTAACTTACTGGGACTAACTCAGAGAAATTACAAAGAAATACCTTCCTCCTCTGCTCCTAATTATGAGATCCTATATATCAGAAATTCTTCAATTTTTTTCTCTTTTCTAGAGTACTGTACTTAATTTCGAAGTAGTCAGACTGTCTTAAGCAAATGCTATCATATAGTGGATTCTTCATCTGACAACGCTTCATCTTTATTCCTTTAGTCTATGATGATAATAACATCAATATTAGTGATAAGAGCGGGCACTTATTAAGTCCTTACTCTATGCCAAAAATCAGTCTGCGCATGTCATAGTTTGATCAGCTAATCCCTATTATAACACTCAGAGGCAATTTACAGTTATCATTCCCATTTTGTATATAGGAAAGCTTAGAGTTTAAACTATTTACTCACTATTGTAAGAATGATCCTTTGAACATAGGCAGTCAGACTTCACATAAGAAACTTATTCTAATTTGTTTTTCTGGACAAACAATATGCATTCATTTGGAAACTCTATACACTCGTAACAACATTTCCATTTACCTTGGACTTTTATATTTGTTTAATCAATGTTTTTCTGTCGCTTCCAGACTGAACGTTCTTTTCATAGTTAGAAAAGTTAGAAGCAAAATAACAGAGCTGAGGATTTTCTCTGTCAGGACTTTCTGCCTAAATGTGAGTCCATGATTTTAGCCACTTTTTCCAAATATCCATCATTCTCATTTTATTATTAACCCTGGACCAATCCATATTTCCTCAGTTTCTGAGATCTGGGGGAAACAATATATCAGTAGTGGACCTGGGTCACTAAATAAATAAGATTTAAAATTTTAGTTGTTTTTATGGGTAGTTATTTCCTTTCTGCATACAATACTGTGACTAAATCTTTAAGTCTCTGTTCAAGTCCAACATTCTCATCTCCTTATTTGTCCCTTCTTCCAAGGAAGAAGACTTGCTTTCTGTGTCAGAGTGAAACCAGAGAGGAATATGGTGAATTCTCACCATATAACATCATTTCTCAGCCAGCATGTCCTTTTATTCTGTGCACACAAGGGATGTTAGTGTATAATATATAGATCCCAGAATAGTTATTAAATAAATTTTTAGATTATTTTTACATTCAATTAGTTTTAGATTGTAGAACAACATAATTATTAAAAGCACAAACTCTAAAGCTGGACTGCTTGGGTTCAAATATGGATACAGTGTTTGCTAGCTATTTGGTCATGAATGAATAGGTTTTTGTTTAACCCAACCTATTGTTTTGTGACTCAGATTCAACATCTGCAAAACTGGGATAATAACTGTACTAATCATATTGGGTTATTACAGGTTAAGCATCGCTTATCCCAAAATCCAAAACTTGGCATGCTTTAAGATCCAAACCTTTGATCTCTAACATGATGTCAGAAGTGGAAAATTCCACACAAAAGTACTTAACACAAACTGTGTTTCATGCATAAAATCATTAAAAATATTTTATAAAATAACCTTCAGGATGTGTATAAAGTGTATATGAAACATAAATGAATTGTGTTTACATTTGGGTCCCATTCCCAAGATATCTCATTATGTATATGCAAATATTCCAAAATCTGAAAATATCTGAAATTGGAAACACTTCTGGCCCCAAACTTTTCAGATACTCAACCTGTATAAGGACTAAGTGAGTAAGTAAGTGCAGACTGCTTGGAACAGCACCCACATAATAAGTGAAGTGGTAATTGTTATTTTAAGTATTTGTCTTTCAAAAATCAATATTAAGTTTCTTCTTTTCTATGCAGGTCTGTTTCCCCATGTGGAGTTGTTACTCCTCTGCATCTGTAATTCCACAGTTCCTTGCATTTTGGTTTTATTACAGTATTTACCACCTTAGAGTATACCCAACACTACAGTACAATAAATATCTTAAGGGCAGAAATTGTATCTTATCTTTGTACATAGACCACTCAGCTCGGGGACCCAAAATATTATTGAGTGAACTAATTAAAATGAAATTATAAAACTAGTTCTCATTTATAACTGGAAAGTAAATATAATATTATTAATGTGGAGTAGTCTAACTCTTCTTGATATTTAGTGTCTGAAGGACTTACGTTTCATTAGGGGTGAATAATATTTTATTTAACTCTCTAGTGTGAACAACCAGGGATGTCTTATAAAATGCTTTTTTACTTTGTATTTTTCATACATTCAGGAAGTATTAACTGTAGAGTTAAAATGCCTTAATAAAATAATAAATAGAAATATTTTAAAATTTAATAAAACCTAGCTGTATTTAGTCTCATAAAATGTTCAACCTCCATAACATTTCATGAGCTATTTATGTATTGCATATCTACATATATTTACAAATAGAAATTTTCTAATTCACATGTAATTCATACACTTCTTTTATTGAACTTTGAATGATAGGGCTTGTGGTTATAATCTTTTCATGCTATACATCAGCAGTCTCAAAGTACCATCTGTGAACTACATGATGCTCCTGAGACACTTTCTAGAGATGTGTGAGTTTAAATCTATTTTTATAATAATATGATTGCATTATTTTTCTATTTCATTGTGTTGACATTTGCAGTGATGGCGCAAAAAGTAATGGTGTGTGAAACTTCCAAGCCTTACAATGAACAAGGGAAGGGACACCAGTTTGCACTATGCTCATTGCAGTCTTCATCAGCAGACAATTTTTTTTAATGCCAGTTTCACTCAAGGATGTCCTGATGTAACAGCAACTAGAATTGATTTTATTAAATCTTCATCCTTGAGAACATTGGATATTTTAACCTGTATGTGACAAAATTGGAGTATGCATAGAGCACTTCTGTTGGGTGCACACAGAGAAATTATTGCACAAGTAAAAGTGCTAATGTAATTCATTCAATTGCAAATGAATCTAGATGTTTTGTTCATGGAGCACCATTTTTTCTTAAATCAATGACAACCAGAGAAACTGGGATTATTTAGATCTGTATATCTGTATCTGACCAATATTTTATCAAAAATAAATGAAAGGAGCCTGTCACTTCAAAGAAAACAATTTGTTGCCAGTGATAAAATTCAAGCTAGCAAGTAAAGATTAGAATTTTAGAAATCTTGTATCCACCACTATGAGCTCCTCAGATTCTAATACCTAAAGACTTTTCTGATGAAACCATGATGATATTAATAGTTTTTAAAGATACTGCCTGATGAAAGGTGTCAACATGAGGACAATCTATAAGTTAGTGACTTTTCTGTACGATGAATGAATGATTTTTGTAAAATCATACCTGATAAAATATCTTCAAAATACAGGTTAAGCCAATGGATTTTAACAAATATCAATTGATATGTTTACAGATTTCATAGTGCAACTACACCCTAAGAAACAACTGCTTGTCAAATTCTGATGAAGTATCAAGGAAGAATACATGAAATATCTGAAAAGACTTAAAATATTACCTCCTTTTCCAACTAAAAATCTATGAGAGCCTGTATTTTCTTTATATACTTCAACCCAAATAATATAGCTCAATAGATTCAAAGCAGAAGCAGATGTAAGAAACCAGTTGTCTTCTGTTAATACAGACATTTAAAAGGATTTGTAAACATGTAAAACCATGTATCTATTCTTGCCAAGTTTTCTGGTTTGTTTTGGAAAACATATTTTTCACAAAAATATATTATTTATGTTTACATGGAAAGGATTTGTTATTGTTATTTTTAAATAGCTATTTCTGTTTTAATTAAATATTGATAGTTATAATCCATATAAACAAAATTCTTTGAGGATCCTCAGTGGTTTTTAAAAGTGCAAAGGGTCCTGAGACCAGTATGTTTAAGAATCACTGCCATAGACAAATAGTTCCTGCAGTATTCCTGAGGCATGTGGAGGGAAAAATCTATTTAGGTTGTTTGAAAGTTCCTATTCACACTCAAAAACACTTTGCAAAGGGAGATGGAATACCCAGCGTAAAAAGTTCCTTTATGAAAAGACATCTTTTCAAGCTAGGATAAATATGTAAGTACTGTCCCAGTGAGTCTAATACAATTTCACAACAGCAGACACTATTATTTTTATTTATTTATTTATTTATTTTACTATTATATGTCAAGTATTAAAGCAGAGGTGCTGTATACTAAATTCGGTGCTGCTAAAAAAAAAAAGAATATTAAGAAGATCTCTGGACCCAGGCGCCTTTTACATTAGCTCATCCACATTTGATGGACCCTTTTTAAAATCATTTGATTAAATACATGAAGAAACCTTTCACTGATATGTAGACCTAAACAAAATGTTTTTTATTAGAAAAGGAAATTGTTTATTTTAGAAAGAAATTTATGCTATGGACTAATTCTTCAATGTGAAATTATAAAAGTACATATGGAATTTTTAGTATCAGGGAAATAAGGGTTAAAATGGATCACATGCTACTGCAGAGATTTTGTTTTCCCTCTCCCCAGCCTCCTCTCCATTTCCTGCTTTGTGTTCTTATTAAGTAAACTACTTCAAGGCTGTAGAAGATAGTTCTTGATGACAAAGTGACACTTCCCTTGTTTCTTTTGATTGAGAGAGGCCTGGGACTTTCATTAGTCCCTGATTAGAGTTTTCAAGGAGTCCAACTATTGATTGCATAAAATTCCTTTCCTGTCATTTTCTGTAAGTGTACACAATAGCTACTAACACATCCTCCTCCAGAGCCCACACTTTGTTTTCCAGGAGGAAGACAGATACTCGGCTAGCAACCTGACCTTTAGAATTCCTACGTTTTAAAAGAGAATCGTCTGTTACTTAAAGATTTTCTTCTACCTACAACAGAGCTGATATTTAGAACTGAAATTTCCTAGTAATTATAGCACATTTGGGTAAGTAGTTATCAAAAATATTCAATTATTGCTTATTCTTAATTATGAGGGGACAATGGGCTTGACACCTGGCGCAAGGCCAGCACTTAAAAACCACTTACTGATTTTTAAATAATAATGATAATTAGAGTTCCTAGTTAGGTACTTTAGAGTTTGTATGTATGTTAAGGATGCATAAATGTTTATGAACTCTTTAGGGTCTAAAGGGTAATAGCTGACCATATGTGAAAAAGAAGCTGTACAATGAATCTTTCTGGATGTCTTACTTTGTATAACTGTTTAAGATAAAATTCACAGCCTAATGCCTTACAGTTTTCACATTCATGTTTTGGATTTCTATTTAGAATTGCTTTTGCCTCAGCTTCTTCTTCTGTTAAATATAGTAATACCAAAGTAATTTACATGAAAAAGATAATGTGGAATAAGAGTTTGCAGTTAAGATACTACTTAACTCTACAATCCCTTCCCCCCAAAAAACAAATTAAAATCATAATAAAATTAAGAAATGATACATATTCAGGCTTCTGTTTAAAGTAGAGGTAAGAATAGAAGACTGGAGAACAGAGACCAGAATGTGAGCTTCAGTTCTGATCCTTCTGCTTTGCTCATTTGAAATAGGAATAAAATAGATGTTATTTGTTATAATATCTCATCACATTCCTGTATAAAAGTGCCAATCACACTGTAAAAGCTCTACAGCTAGTAGCTATGATTGCCATGGCTCTTTTCTTTACCTATTCAGTTCTTCCCATTCTTCAAGACACAGATCAAATGTTCTTTTTCAGGAGAACTACTAGGTCCATAGGACAACCCCAAATGCTTCATTTTCTTTTGAATTCAGCTCCTGTTGCACTTACAATTTGCTAACTTCCTTATGACTTCATTTAAATAATGACTACATGTTTAACTTTTCCTATATTCACTGTCTCTCAGATTAGAACGCATGCTCCTTAAAGGTATCAAAAATTTCTTTTTCCTTGGGTATTTTTTATCATATAGTGTCTTCTACATAATTAATGCACTATTAATACTTGATTATTATATAAATGACAGGTTTCATGAAATGTTCAAGAGTTCCTAAGACATTCTCATGAAATTATGTAAAAAACCAAAGAAGAAAATAACTTTGTAGAATATTGTTATTGTAAAATAACTTTGCATTTTTTAGAAGAGAGATAAATCATTGTAGTTTGGAGTTAGAAAGAACTAAACAAATCCTCTAGCTTAAAATTCTATGTTATAGATGAGAAAACGAACCTCAGAGAGTTTTCTGTATTAGCCAGAATCATTATATTAAAAAATCACTGGCCAAGCATGGTGGCTCACACCTGTAATCCTAGCACTTTGGGAGGCCTAAGTGGGAGGATCACTTGAGCCCAGGAGCTTGAGGTCAGCCTAGGCAACATAGGGAGACTCTGTCTTTAATTTAAAAAAATAATAATAAATACAAATTATTAATTTTCATACTAGACACCTAGCTATCATTTCATAATTTTATGTAATCATTTCAAATACATTTTCAAATAAGCAGAATTGGTCTAAATGTGTACCTTATAATGGACACATATGAGTTCTATATATTATTTGAGGTTTCTTACCATTTTATTCTTAGTTGTCATTAACTCTATCTATTGAGATAATTTGTTGATTACAAATATTACCTTCCTTAAAGAGAAAAATCATGTCTACATCTACGTTTTTTTTTTCTGAAAATGGTTTTTTTTATGCTACAGGTATTAATGTGGACTCTCCTTAAACTATGGCAAAATATTTGTTTCTGAAAATTTTGTGAAGGGTAATGCAAACATAAAGGAAAATTTGTTGTTTCATATATGTCACTTTGAGCCAGAAGGGAAACAGGACTAGGAAATAAAATCCTGGATGGCTAATAGGGATAAAGAGTCATGCTAAGAAAACCATTGTTCCTAGGAATAAGAAAGCCATCCCTACTATGTCTACATCTATCCACCACACAACAGACCATCAAATTCATTACAAAGTTAGACTTGAAATTCCAGCAATCCCTTTCTATGCTACTATGCTCAACCTATGTACTGAAGCCATTCAAAGCACAAAAGCAATGACATACCTCAGTGGCCTCACAGGAGAGTAACCTCTTTTATATTTTTATGCGACAGGTACTGATGTAGTCTTTTTTTGTAACTATGGCAAAAGATTTTATTACATATCCAAAAATTAAGAAGGGAAGTGTACTGTTATTGTTGTTTCTGTTTTTTTATTTTAACTCAAAAATAGTGTCAAGATCAACTAGCCTACTTGTAAAATATCACCTTTTAATAATATATCAATTTTTGTGGTGATACAGAGCTCAAAAGTGTCACTTGAGCTTGTGACCACAGACAGTGTCAAACATTTTGAATCTGGATTGAATGCTCTTTCCACAAGATTACAAGCATGTCCAGACATCACTTACTCATTTAACGAACAGACATTGGACATCTGCTTGGTGTCAGCACTGTGTTAGGCACTTTGTATTCCCTCAGGCCCTACAGAGAGAGGGAGGCTGGAAAACAAAACATACATTCAGCTCAAGGGAAGCGGGATAGGGGTTTGTTCCCAGGTGAGCCTAGAAACATAGCATTGTATATTCTGCAGAAAGGCTGGCAGCCAGAGCAGGATCCATAAAATAAAGCAACTGATTTCACTTCCAATTCTCACATGAACTCAGTGAGAGAGTTAAAAAACTGCTGTAGTAGGAAGGACACTGAATGGAGACTTTAGAATAATGGATTCAAGTCCCAGCTTTGACATTTATTGCCCATTTTTCTCGCCCTTAGGGAGTAGTGCAATGCAACCTAACCTCTCTAGGTATCATCTTCTCAACTGATAATGTAACAATAAAATCCTCTCTACACAGCTTACACAGCTGTTGTTGGAATTAAATAAAAAAATCAATGTAAAAGCTCTTTATATATTTTTAAACATGCTACAAACAGCAAAGTCTTATTCTTCAAAGACAAGAAAAAGACAATGAACTCTACTACTGGAAAATTACTTAACCAAATATTATTGCACACATGTATCTCACAGTTGCTTTTCCTGTAGTTAAATATTTTAAATACTTTATGTTAGCTTGGTTTAATAAACTGCTAATTTACCAGTTTTGTTTGCCAAATGTATGTCCTACTGGTGTCAATTAGAAAATTTAGAAAATATGAAAAGTAACACATTCTGAAATGCAGAAATTATAAGTGTTAATAAGGTATATACATTGAAAACATTCAACATTACATGCAATTAAAAAATAATGGAAATGCTATTTTTGATATTCTATGTTAAAATTAAAAAGTGAATTTAGAAGAGGAAAGAATAAAACATGTTCAGTTTCTAAAAGAAGCAATTTAAAAAGCATTTGGTATATAAAGCACAATGATTAGCTTTGTATAAAGTATGTAAATGGTGCAATTACAATGTACAGTATAAAAGACAGTTTCCTGTGTTTTCCATCAAATCATCAACATTGGCTTTAGAGAAATTGTAGGAACATTTAGAAAAGATAAATACATTTCATTTGTAGTGTGGCTCGTACAAAGGAAAACATGTCAGGTGGAAAATGACTGCCCTTTTCTGATGATTTCATTGATTGATGTGCAAAGTGCTTCTGACTATGGCAAAAGAAGCTTAGCTCAAATGTGAAATGCTTGACTGTTTCATTTGGAACATGAATTTTTATTTTGCAGCCATAGCAAAAGAGATGAAATTCTGTCTGGTGAGTGTAAAGGGGAAAGATAAGCCCTTATATCAAGAATTTCTGCTAACCTTGCTATATTTAGTATCAGAAATAAAGTGGAGATTTGCAGCTCACTGAATTCTGAAGCCAAGAAAATGAGATAAAAGAAAAAAAAAAGAGAAACTACACACATTCTGTTTTAGTAATTTTGTCTGCTTCTAGGGCACTAAATAGCTACATAATAGGATTAACCGCTAGACAGTTTTAACAAACAGTGTTAAGTTATTGGGTTCATGCCATATCTTATATACACAGACATATTTTTTTCTTGTGGCTTTATTGGAGATTGAAATTTCAGTCTGATAAGAGGTCTCCTAAATGTAATATTGATCGAGTTAAAAAAAAATTTTCCAATCCAATCTTCTTTTCCCATTCAACTGCATTTGAATGAAGTTTACTTTTATTTGTTCGTTATAAGGAAATTTTAAGTAATCCTATACTAATTTGGAAAATAAAACAAACAAATGAATTTGAGGGTATGATAAATCTGAATTACATTCTCAATTTCGTGCATCCACATTTTTTTACATTTATAATGTTAGGTATTCCTCTGAGCCTCAGTTTCCTCACTAAAACTGGAAAGTTAATAATTATCAGTCACAGTTCCTAGTTGTAAGAACCAGACTTTGCCTGATTAATGAGAAAATTAGGCTCATGATAGACAACTATGGAGTGCTTTATCCCTGCCATTGAGTCTTCTGAATATTCCATACTCAGCAAATTCCCACAATATTATTATTCCCTTTCACAGATGAGGAAATTGAGACACTCAGGGACTAACTTACTTACCCCAGGTCATAGGAACTAGAGAGCTGGGATTTATTTTCAGGCATTCTAGCCCCAGGGCCTGTACTCTTAACCAATACTCCAAATTCTGTCTCTAGTTTATTGTAACAATTTTGGGTTGTTCACATAAATATTGGGTGTGTGGAAAAATCAGACTCAAAACATAGCAACCAGGAACAATGCACAATGCATTGTGCATCACATTGCTGTGGTCACCAACCTAAATTCTAAGGCTGCAAGCTTGTACCATTACAATGTAACACACAAAAAGCATGGATTTTCTGTAACTTCTACCTCTCCACTATCAAGACCATAAGCAACCACTGTTACTGCTGCCACCCCAAAGAAAGAAAGGCAAACTCCCCATCCTGAGTCAGGCTCTGATTAGGCTGAAATGAGGTTGGAAGCTGGGAGGGAGGCTGGAGAGACAGCTTCCAGCTTGGTCAGCTCTTCTAGCGGTGGAATGATCATGGCTCATTGCAGCCTTGAATTCTTGGGCTTAAGCGATTCTTCCACCTCAACTTCCTAGGCAGGTGGGGGACTACAGGCACCTGCCACTGTGCTTAGCTAACATTTTTCTTCTTTTTCTTTTTCTCCTTCTCCTTCTCCTTCTCCTTCTTTCTCCTTCTCCTCCTCCTCCTCCTCCTTCTTCTTCTTTTTTTGTAGAAACAGGGTCTTACTATGTTGCCTAGACTCGTCTCAAACTCCTGAGATCAAAGACCCTCTCACCTCAGTTACTCAAAGTATTGGGATTACAGGTATAAGCCACCACACCTGGCCCAGGAATTTTCAGAGAAAGTCTCTTATGTTGGAAAAGCTAAACAAATAACAAAATTCCACTTTAACTTTTCTAAAGATGAACATAAATATTGTATATAAAGTACTAATGGTTTAGTGATGCATTGTAATTGTTCTGGTATCAGCCTACCTGAGTTAAAACCTTAGTTTTTTTTCTCACTAGTTGTGCTACTTTAGATAAATTACTCCACCTCACTGAGTTAATTGCCTCATTGTAAATTCTTGCAAGTATTAAACAAAATAAAGTTGGTAACTAATTAATTATATTTAAAGCACTTCAAATGTTCATATAAAGTAGCGCTAGCTGTATCTGCTATTAAAATAACTGGTTAGCTAAAAAAAGAAAAATGGCCATTAGCAGATAAATGGATAAAGACAATGTGACAAATACCTACAATTGGGCACTGTTCACACTGAAAAAGAAGGAAATTCTGTAATGTTCCACAACATGAATGAACCTTGAGGTCATTATGCCGATCGAACTCAGCCAGTCACAGAAAGGCAAAAGTGCGTCATTCCACTTATACGAGGTATCTAAAGTAGTCTAATTCCGAGAATCAAAGTGTGGAATGATGAATGCCAGGGGATGGGGGAAATTGAAGTTACTAATCAACAGGCACCAAGTTTCAGTTAATAGAAATGCATATGCTCTAGAAATATGCTATAAAACATTGTATCTGTAGCCAACAATAATGGATTATGCACCTAATTTCTTGAGAAGTTCATTTTCAAGTTAAGTGCTCTAACCAAAATAAAACAAAATAAAAAGTATTAATGTACTGATTTTTATCAGTTGACAAAATTTTTGGATTCAAGTAAGTACAAAGTTCAAATCAGTTTTCTTCCAACAATTAAGAAAATTCCATTGAAAAGTCAGATCTCTATGTAAAATTGTTACTTCAGAATTTAAAGAAAGAAAATATGATTGCATAGTAGGCAAATTTAGGTCTGAAGTTACGATTAAATCTAGAGCTGGGTACTTTATCAAAATACCTGGCATAGTAAAACCCAAAACACGTAAGTGTCTTGGAACTGACAGAAGTCAAAACATAATCCAGAAATGTAAAGTTTTTTGGTTCCTCTCCTATAGTAGAAAAAAGAAGTGTGGGAATCTGAATGTATTAGACACCGATTCTTACATAAATATAAGTAAATGTTCATTTGAAATGACACATATCTCTCCTGGAGAAAGCTTCTGATTGGTATGCTATTGGGCACTGTCCATGGCTTTGTTTTGCTAAGTGTTTACATCAGTAACACTTAGCAAAACATCAGTAACTTAGATGTACATACATAGGACATTCTTATGAAATACAGGCCGGATACAAAGCTGGAAGTGCCAAAGAATAAGATACTCTACCTACTACAGGCATTCAACATAAATAGATGCAATTGATTAAACAGGGATAAATTAAAAATCCTGTGTTTATAAGCAAAGAATCCAATTTCACAAGTACACAGGATGTAAGGGATGGCTTAAGCTCTTTGGATGCAATGTTGATAGACTACACAACAACATTAAGCAGAGTACAAAAGTCCAGATTCTAGAACCTAACTTGAGAACTGTGGTGACATCATAACCAACCCAGAGACAAACAAACTTCAAACCATTGAAACATCAAAGCACACTCTCCAGAGGGGACAGCAAACCCAAGCCCATTTATTTTTTAAAAAATGGCCCCTCAGGCTTCTTCTGAACTATGTAGGAAACAGAAGAGCAGCCAGGCCAGTGTTCAGATACCTAGGGGACAGGGAGGTACAGTCCACAAAAGAGGGCTGGCCAGAACATTAGGCACTCGTTCCATTCACCGAAGTTCCAGATAGAATCACAGTCCTAAAGATTAGGTTAAGATATTGGCATAGTAACACCAAAATGCAGTAGGAACCAAAACCTCTTTATATAAGTAGGGCCAATGTAGGTGATGGAACTGTGAAACCTGCAACTTAACTGCACATAAAAGAACCCAGTATCATCTCTGAATGAGCAGTAAAAATAACAACAGCAATAAGAGCAATTATTTCTCTTCATTGGCTGTTACTGTGTACTAGGCATTCTACTAGATATTTTTACATTCGTTATCTAATTATTGCTCACAATAATAGTAAAGATAAGTATGAAATTCTCCATTTGCATGTCAGAAAGATGAGATCAAGCCAAGACTTTAAGGCTCTAGCAGATCCAGGATTCATTTGGTCTACATGGTTTCATGAACTTTCTAGTAAGCACAATGCGTTCTGTATCTCATTAGCCAAAATTGAACTCATGTGATGACTTAGAAGCCTGGCACCATGAGTAGACTTCCAGATTCTTGATCTGAATGAGTAACTTAGTTGTGAGCCTCATAGGCAGGCAGAAAAGCACAAATCCTCAGGAATAAGGTAGGTCTGAACCAGCAAATTGAGGACCTCAGTGACTCTTCATGGGGTAGCTGAGGAAAGACAAAAAACATTTTCTCCATCAAGAAAAATGTAAGGAAAAGCCATGGCTAATTGTCAGTATCTATAAAGCAAACTTGAAGGCAAAACAAATAAACTTTACATGCACTAACTCTTATGTTAAGGTGCTTTTAAAAGTGCATGTGAAATTAGTTCTCATTAACAGAAGAACTAGTGAGCCACACTAAGGAAAGTCATGTGCAGATCTTCCTGATTTCCTATTCAATATCTATTCTCAGATGGGTTTTCTTGTGATTATAATCCCAACTTAGTTAATAGTAGAAATGCATCTTACCAAAAGCTAGGTATCCCTGACATTTTTGGAAAATATGGGCCTATAACATCTTCTGCACATGTTCACGAAAGTTTGCCTTTCAGTATAGGAACAGTATTGAATATAGTTTCCAATATGGGCACAATGGCTTTCCTGTTATTTTCTTCTTCTTCCTTCTTGGAATGCAGATGTGAAAGCAGAATGGTCAGTCATCCCATGGACATTAGATGCCTGTGAGGGTAAAAATCACATCCAAAGGATAGTAATCCTTGGATAGAAAGAGGTTACTGGATATTAACGGCATTGAGAAATGGTTGCATCAGCGCTGGGTTGCCTTAATAGGAAACATCCTGTTAAGTGAAAACTTTTTTTTAAGCCACTAGAGTTATATTTCTGCTGAGAGAATCTCTAGAAAACAGTTAGGGATGGATTTCTAGGATCAAAGTTTCAAAGAGAAATTTGAAAAAGATACCCCATGTCTTTTAGGGTCCAGAGTTTCCAATAAAGAAAAAAAAACATTGGGTGTTAAGCCTGTATTTTTCAGGCTCCTGAAAAGCATTTACAATTCTCCTTTTGTCATTATTGTTTTTAAATGTCTTAAAATATTTAAGGGAATATATCTTTATTTATGTTGTGTGGCTCTTAGCAGTTCATTTTAAATGAAAGACTTAGGTCTTATTTAAGCCTTAAGAATTATTTCTTCTCTTCATATAACTAGTTTAAGCCTTCTGGATCTCTCATCAGTGAATACGGAAATTTACTAATCTATCCACAAAGTCAATTAAGCCTCCCTCATATTTTACATCTCTTCTTGTTATTTGTTAGCTTTGACTTTGTATTCTGAGACTTCCTTGATTGGTTGTTATAACACACGAATTCTCTTCTCAGCTACGTTCATGCTGCTCTTGTCTGCTAATAAGCTTTTATTATGGAAATCAAATGAATTTACAATGTCGATAGCTGATGTATTTTGGTGGATGCAGTAGATTCTCAAATCTCTCTAATCATATCATTTGGAAATCCATTTATTCATATTAACTACATTTCTTTTATGTACTTTAATGTTCTTTAGTGTGTTCAGTTTAATCTTTTTCGATGTTATTTTTCCTCAAGCATTTGGTGATTTGCAGTGTTCCAGCCATCTTCATCCTAGAGGATTCCCGATGCTGATTGTGGATGGATGTCAGTTCTGAGGGTTGTTTGAATGGAAAGGCAGTCAGAGCAGGCTGCTGATTGCAGTGACCTTGGCTTCATTTTATGGCTTCTAAGAACTTGAAGTGGGAAAGAAGATGGTTATATTTGTTTTTTTATCCTCATGATGCAGTATTCTAAATGGATATCTAATAAAGTTCCATCTTGAGAACTAATGAATTCTCTATGACTGAAATAACTGAGAGATAGGTTGCACAGCAATTTGTTGAAAGGCTTTCCTAGGAGTTTAGAAGGCAAGAGAAACCAAAGGAAAGAACAAAGAGTGAGTTCAAAACCTAGGATTGAATCCCTATTTTGCCCAATTAAATACCCTTTTACAACTCATCTCCTCTGAATCTTTGGAAATCTGTAAAAATAAAATTATAATTCCTACCAGAAGAATTAGCCCTAATAATAGACTAACTTATATAAACAAATCTGGATTTTAACAGCATACATTAAATTATAATTCCTAATATTAGTATAATGCTAAAAAATTCATGAATCATAAGACAGTTGGACAAGATTATAAACAGGAGGACAAACATTCCAACTTTTCTTGATCTTTATCAGTCTTGGTTTATACCTGTTTCTCTAGGAAAGTTTTATTAGCTAATTCTTTCATTCAAAAAGTATCCTGGTTTGAAAAACTATGCATTATATGGTAATCTTAGCATTGAATACTCCTGAGCTTCTTGATTCAATTGTCTTTAGTAAGACTTTGCCTATAAGAGTTGAACCAGCCTTGTCCTAAGCAAGTAGTCATAGAACTTCTAATTGAAGAATATGTGGGAGCAGCTAAATGGTCAGGTGTTCAATTGGACAAGCATAGATTGGAATTTGGACTTCCATGTGTATCAGCTCTATGAATGTTGACCAGGACTCAAACTCTTTGAGCCCCAGTTTTCCCCTCAGTAAAATGGAGATTTATAAAATGATTTGAAGACAAATGAGCTAATATATATTCAATGATCACCACATGGTTAGGCATATATTAAATAGTTTAGCTATTTTCTACAAAAGACAGAACACAGTATAGAATTTGTTGTAGATTTTGACACTTTTTATTTGTGCAAGTTAATTTTGGTATCTACATTTGTATTGCATTATTTTTACCACAATGTGAAGTAGATCTCACCTTTCCAACTTATTAATGCTCTGTTTTAGAATTTACACACTCTTATGTTGAGAGGAAAATAATGGTAGTAATCTTACTGTCATGTTCATGAGGGGGAAAAAAAGAAGCTATGTATGTGTCTACCAAAGCCCAAATGTTTCCACTTCTGTTCAATTCACAACCCAGATGAGATTGAAACAACAGGGTCATTAGAGTCTCCAGAGGAAGAAAATTCCATGTTTAGTTCTAATTTATTGATTTCTTCCATTATTCCAGCTTCTGGGTTTAAAATGTTAGTGAGTGAAATGGTTTTGTTGACATTTCCAATAGAGGTCCCATGCCCTCAAAGTTGCACACTATTTAAACAGGAAATATGCCCTTTTAGCACTGAAGTAAACACAACGGGCAATGAACCACCCACAGGCAGCTTTCTAACAAAGCCCCTCAAACCATGACTCTCCTGCCATATGGGCCAAGGAAGGCACACATAGCCATGAGAAGAAAAAGCCGACTCTCATTCCCATTTGAACCAACCACTCATATTTGCAATTCGTAGAATGTTGATAAATGTCATTGCTCCAAGGTCACCCCCAGGGTGTTTGAGACTTTTATCTTGCCACTCATCCTAGTTATTTTTCTTTCTCTTCCTTTTAAGAAGTTTTTATCCCTAATTTTCACATGTTGTTTATTAACAAAACATGTACAAGGAATGCAGACTCTTTCTATATTTCAAACATTTCTAGCCTTCAAGGATGGGAGAAGAATTAAACAAGGGAGAAGGCTAGCTTCCAGCAATAACACAGCTTTAACAAATACATGAAATATTTATAGAACACATAAAGAACAAAGGAAATGGAGCACTTCCTCTGTGTACGATTTCTCTCAGTGTTTCTGTTGACCTGGTATTTTGCCACTACTTATTTCCCCCCAGATATCTATGGAGCAACAATGAGTGAGAAGCACCTGGTTAATGTACCTTCAATCTACTGTCTCTCCCATATTTTAAAGGAAGAATCTCAGATGCTACTGATGATTGCATTGACATGTTCGTTCTGAGAAGACTGTTTTTCGGAGGCAATAAATACACTGAGAAATCAAGGCCTCTAGTAAGCTGTAACTATTTGGAGAAAACAGCTATTTTAACTTCACTTTTTCAAGAACAACAACAAAAACTGCTTAAATATTACAATTACTATAAAAGAAGCCATATAAATTGAGAAACTGGCAGAGTGATTTTCTCAAAGGAACAAAGAAAGTGTCTTCACAGTTACAGCCTACTCCTAGGGTTGCTCTTACTTCCGTATAACTTAGTTTAAAACTATTTGCAAACATAATTATTTATTTAACTGGCCACAGAAATTTTTGTTTTGGTGATGAGAAACAGAAAAGGAGAGCATATTAAAGATCTGCTTCTGAAGGGAAACACCCAATATAGTAGCATTGATGGGTGCTGTATTGAAACAGGAGAGTTCCCTGACCCCTCTTGCAGGGCCTCTGATAGGGGTGCGGCTCTCTCCTGGAACCCTGTGAGCTCAAACCCCTTTTGGGCAGGGGAGCATGCAGATGAGCAGGTGCAGGAGCCAGGGTGAGTGCTTTGGGCTCCAGCCCCATGGTAGTGTCTAGGGGTAAGTTCTTGTGACCCTAGTGTTAAAATTCTCTTTTAGCTCTGCTTTCCACAGATGGCTTAGTATTAACCAGCTCAGTGCCCCTTCTGCCTTTCTACAAGGGAAAAGGCCAGTGTGACACTTTCTGTGTCTCAAGCGTCCCAGGAGTTATTGAGTCACACACAGACTTGAAGAGTGGTGAATGTGGGGGCTTTATTGAGTGGTGGAGGTGGCTCTCAGTGGGATGGGTGGAGAGGGAGAAGGAGGATGGAGTGGGATCTCCAGTTGAACTTTTGGTTCTCAGATGCTCCTTCTCTTTCTCTGTTGTACCATTCTACTGTTCATCTGCTTATCTTCTTGTCTCCACATCTCCCTCTGGAGCCTGGGGTTCAGGGTTTATATGAGTACAGGATAGGGGGTGGGCGAAAAGGCAACTTTTGTGGCACAAAAACAGAAAAGCCTGTCCTTATTTAGGGTTCCAGGTATCCAGGAGTGAGGGTGGGGCCTTTGCCAACAAACCATCCTCTTCTACCCGTATTTTCTCTGTTTACTGTCTATATCATTACTACATACAATTCCCCATATAACTTTCTCAAAGTTACATCACTTGCTTTATCTTTCCAACACTTGGGTCCTGCATTATGCAGTGTCATTAAAGTGCTATTTAATAACTGATTTTTACAGTGCTAGTTTACATTTATTGTACCAGGAGCTGTGCCAAGTGTTTTATATATAGTATCTCATTTCACATTCACAGTAGCCTTTTGATATTGGTAAAAATATCAAATATAAGAACACTGAGATTTGAAAAGCTCAGGTGATTTGACCAAGCTGGGAGTAAGAAAGGCTTAGATCTCCCTGGATGTTCTGACTCCACTTGTATTTCCACCCCAGCTGGGACAATGATGTCACTTTAGATTGTAGCATTTCCTGTTTCCTCTCCTAACAAAGTAAAATGTGATAATCGATTCAGAATAGTTTTTTTGAGCATTGAATTTAAACTGTTCAGTGTGTGTGTGTGTGTGTGTGTGTGTGTTGGATATACTGACTTAAGACAGTGGCCAGGTATGGTAGCTCATGCTTATAATCCTGGCACTTTGACAGGCCAAGGCAGGAAAATCACTTGAGCCCAAGAGTTTGAGGACAGCCTGGGCAGCATAGGGAGACCTCTTTCTCTACAAATAATAATAATAATAAATTAGCTGGCTGTGGTGGCACATGCCTGTAGTCCCAGCTACTCAGGAAGCTGAGGCAGGAGGATTGGTTGAGCCCAGGAGGTCAAGGCTGCAGTGAGTGATAATTGGGCCACTGCATTTTAGTCTGGGCAACAGAGCAGGACCCTGTCTGGAAAGAGAGAGAGAGAGAGACAATAGTAAGTATCAACATAGTGTAGATTCTGGAATCCATATACAGCTACGAGTGGGAAACAGCCTCTTAGAGCCCCACTTCTATTTTATGGATCTAGCCCCACCCCACTTCCTCTGAAGACCTGAAGACCTTGCCTATGCTGCTCAGTTTTTTTGGGAGCAGATCATTTTTCACTTACAAACATTTTCTCCACATGTGGTATTCAAATCATGGACTATTACAAGAGATGTATATAAGCCAGGGCAGTAGTTTCAGAGAATAGAAAATATGGCTTCATTTTAGCCAACAGCTTAGAGAAGAGTTCAGCATGGAAGAAAAGGTATTATCTGTACAAATATTGCAATTAGAAAAGTAGTTTGAATAAAGCAGTTTTAAACAAATTTTGTTGACTGTAAGGACATGATAGTCTAAGTTACATTTCTGGGCGCATAAAAAATATATTATAAACTCATTCACACAGAAAATATATACATACATATTCACTTATTTTTGAATTACTCTATTGTATGACCTAGGGAAATGTTACTTCTATTATGACAAAGAACATTGTTTTAAATTTGGCAAGCTACTTTCTCCTAACTCTATTAAAACTAAATGATCCCTTTACAATGCAATGTGTGTATATAATATGAGTGATCACCTCTTTGTTCAGTTCAGTCTTTTCTCCTTATGCTTAGTCTCAACTCTGTCTTGAAAATAATAAAGAGCACATGTTGGCTGCTTGGAGCCAGTCGTCTAGGCGACTCCTATCATTTTTATATTATTGGTTTGCTGGTTGTAATTGGCTTTATATAAATGAACTTTCACTTCATACTTCCTTTCCCTTTAAGGCTCAGATTTAAAAAGTTAGCTCCTTCATGGACCTTTCCAGAACCCCAAGAACTATTACCCTTTCTAAGCCTCAGTTCCCACAGTTGTTGGTACCTCTTTAAGCGCTCCTGGTACAATTTGTCTTCTATTATTTTTGATAAATTTTATATATTTTCTCTTATCCAGTAGTGCGAATACAATATATGGATACAATGTGTGAATAGGAGTTTGATTTATTTCTATTATTCTGTTTGTTAGTGTCAACAAAAACAGTCAAATTGGAAAATATTTGAAGAGATTTATTCTGAGTCAAATATGAGTGACCATGGCCCATGACACAGCCCCCAGGAGGTCCTGAGAATATGTGCCCACAGTAGTTGGGGTGCAGCTTGCTTTTATACATTTTAGGGAGACATGAGAAATCAATCAAGTACATTTAAGAAATACATTGGTTTAATCCAGAAAGGCGGGACAACTCAAAGCTGGGGCTTCCAGATTACAGGTAAATTTTCCGACTGACAATTGGTTGAGTTTGTCTAAATATCTGGGATTACAAAAAAAAAATGCTTAAGTTAAGAGAAAAGATTGTTGTGACCAAGGATTTTGTTTTTGTTTTTGTTTTTGTTTTTTTTTAAGGATGAAACTATGGCTTTTTATTTTCATGTGGATAATTCAAACAAAGTCACTAGTAGCCTTTGTTCAATTTTTTTTTTTTAAAAGAAACCCTCAAAAAAATCTTGAGCTTAAAAGAAATCTAAGTCTGCTGCAGGAGCCTGGCTGGAGGATTCCTATTTTTATAGATGAGAAATACAATGAAGATTTCTCTTCAGAGTGTTTAAAGAAGGAATGGTAGTTTAGGGGGCTTATTTCCCAGGCTCCAAGTGATTTAGGGGTGGTGTCACAGTGCTAGGTATAGGGTGATAGGACAGTGATCACTGCCGAGAGCCTTGGAACGGATCTTGCTGTGTTGTGACCAAGGTTTTTCTGAAGTCTTAGAGGGGCTGCCGTTAGAGAAAGTAGATGACAAGTGTTTTCTATCCCGACCTTTATAAAGTACTAGACTCTTAGTTAATCTCTTCAGGATTGGGAGGACATGGGAAAAAAAGATCTAGCTATGTTAATAGAGATTATTTAAAGATGCACGGTTTTTCCCACAAAGAACAGTTTTGCAGGGCCGTTTCAAAATATGGCAAAGAAACATGCTTTGGGGCAAAATATTTTGACTTTCTTCTTTGTCACATAGTTGGAAAGTAAGAGTCAGATTGGAAAGTAAGTCACGATGTATAGGATCTGATGAGAATTTATGGTTTGTAAGGCATCACTCTCCAGACTCCTAAAACAGGAATTAGGGCAATATAAAAAAAATCAGAGCTTGGTCCTTATTAGCAAGACCAGCACTGTCCTCTGTGTGTATGAGTCATTTAAACTTACTGGCTAAATAACAATAGAAAATGTTTATGTTTGTGTTTGCTTATGGTAGACTTTTATAAAAATTATTTCTTCTAATCTTCAGAACTATTATCTTCCATGTACAGTAAAGTAAACTGAGGCCCTGGGAAATGAAGCACTTTAGTTTTAAAAGCTGGTAAAGTCTACTGCTACACCCTGCCGGTAAGTCTTTTTACTTATATTTGTCATATTCCTCTTTCTTAACCTTTCAGAATGCTTTAACATAATAATTAATATACCTAGTATTTTTATGACTGTTAACAATTCATACTTATTATTCCTAATATTCTACCTAGATGATATAAAGATAAAAAGATACAGATAAACTTTGCTGACCCCCAAATTCTCTTCCTATGTACTGAATTTCAAAAACAAAAAACCTAACCCTCCTTTATGGCTTAGAAAGCAAAACTAGGATTTCTATCCCCAGAAGGCAACAGTTAGAATACCTTAAGCTACGACTTTAGGGAAACCTTCTAGTTATCTTCCTAAACTAGTCAGAGTAGTGAGCAGTATTGTGGCTGATGTTATGAAGCTGACAGAAAGAAGCATCTGACAGATGAGCATGGGTGTATGTGGCAACCTTCAATTAACTGGGAGAGAACCCAGACCATAAGCCCTGTTCTTCTGATTTCAGCCCCCTTGGCATTGCAAAGGACTACAGACCATTGCATATGATGGCAAGAAATGTTAGTTACTAGTGTTTGAAACTGCAGGTTGTCTTAAAAGAAAAAATGTTAAGAATGTTAGGAGGTGTGTGTGTGTGTGTGTGTATGTGTATTTTCTGGGAATAAGACAGGTAAGCACATTATTAAGCAAATAAGGATGAAAGTTGTTTCCTGATAGGAATCTTTGGCTTCAAAAGAAGACCTCATTTGGCAAAAATGAAGATGTGTAGTTAAAACACTGACTGTCTACTTTAGGATGGGGCTGCAGAAAATTTGAACCCATCTCTCCACAAAAGGTGATGAATGGGGGCTTATGATCATCAAGAATAAATATAAGGAATAAAAAGAGAGCAGCTCCATTAGCTTATTTTTTCTACTTTTCTCCTAGCTAACCTGGGCTCTGCTTTGCTTGTGTCAAGCAGCTCTGAAGAACTCTGTCTGTAGTCTGTATGCCATTAAGTGGCAACAGTTCAGGGAAATTCACATGAATAACAAAAGACAAAAAGCATGAGTATGATGGGCCCCACCCCAGGACTAAAAATGTGTGGAAACATCAAGGGAATAAAAATGTGTCAGGTAGCAGACTTTGTTAAATGCCTTCATGATTTTGATCCTACAGAATACTTCACAGGAAACATTACATTACATTAATCAAAAATTCCCTGGAAAAATAACAGATAGAGGAGGAAAAAAGATGCATAAAGAAAACAAACAGAAGATCTTGAAAAGCTAGGAGAAAAAAAAAGGAGAAGAAAGGGGAACTAACGCAGAAAAAAAGAAGGTTAACATACTTTGCATGTTAGGGAGAGGTTGGATGCCACTGTTTACTGCCTCAGAGGCTACTAAGAAACCTTTAAATAAGATTTCTGTCTGGTTTGGAGCAGTTTGAGGAATAAATGTGATTAATCATTATTTCAATTCTTATGAAGAAAAATAGCACATCCAGATAAACAACCATCTATCCAATTTTATTCAACGAATAGGTGAAAAAAATCTGTGAAATCTATGATCACAAAAACACTGTAGTAGAGTACTCAAAATATCAGAAGAGTGTTTAAAAAGCATACATGCGACTAAACTAGAAATGTGATAATTTACTAGGTAGCCATCTTAAGTGAACTGCTTTGCAATATTTCTTGAAAGAATTAAATTAATTTTGTGCTTTCTCTCTCAATACCTGAATTTCCTAGGATCCTATTTTGGAGAATTCATCTTTCTTTCTTCTATACATCATAGTTTTGCTAGTTACCCAAAACCCATTTAAACTAAGTTTTATTGAAGAAACAAAACAATACTGAGGTTAAAATAAGTTTCTAGCATTATTTCTGCAAATATAAATGGGTGTATAAGTGACACACTTCTCTAAAACTTCAGTAGCAACTATTTTTAGGGAGTATGATAAGATTTTATTTTGAGTAAATTCAATTTGAAACCTCAAAATTGAAACAGGCTTGGCATTTTCTCATCACTGGCAACCACCCATGTTATTAAATAAGAAACCTGAGAACTATTTTTTCCATGAAATTTTTGAAATACCCACAAGTGGCATTAAATGCTATTTGGGTATGCCAACACAGTCTTGAATCTCTTTTGGCTGAAATGCTATCCAAGGACAAATGATGCCAATTTCCCTATGTGCAGGTTCATTCCCCCATCCCCACTTTTGTTTCCTTCAAGAATGTGTACTTGAGATCAGTCCCAAGGAAGCTTCTTTAAAGCACTGCCAAATGGCCATGTTTCAAAACAATGTACTATATATTGCATGTGTGTGTTTAAATATACTCCAAATTCTTCTTTTCATGGGATAGTGCTAAGAAATTAAGTTGCTTTAGTTCACTGAAGACTTCCCGTAAGTGATAAGGCTTTTCTGTTTTCATCAGTTACTATAAAAAAATCTTCATATAATCATTTATTTCATATTATTTTTTAAGGGTCTACTATGTGCCTAAGAAAAAGACATAATTTCTACTCTGAAGGGATTTATAATCTTGGGGAAACAGGCAAGTAAGCAGGTTGCTAAAAGGTAGTCAAACAAATATGGTGACAGAG